CCCCCCTCCGCTCCTCCCCCTCGAGTCCTACCCGCCGCCCAGCCCTTCTCGCCCACCCCTTCCTGCCTCCTCCCACGTGAAGACTTTTCAATATCCACGTGAATTTTCAGGCTCCATTTTGAACAGCGACTGAGATTCTAGAAAAACTGGCTGCTAACTGGCCCAAGCCAGGCAAAACTTATTACAATCCCGCCTCCTCTTTTAAGTTATTGGATGGAAGACTAACCTAATTTATGACCTGAGACTGTCAAAGAGATGGCGAGGAGGAGAGGGTACATTGATTATAGGGACTGCTTGGGATTTTGTTGTGTTTTCAGGTGATTCCTAGGTTACTGGGCTTGGGGGGGTGATTTCGCTTTGCGGGGTTCTCCCTTCTACTCCCTTCTTGCAGAGGTCGAGAGCTTCTCTTACATCTTTTTCCGCTGGGCTCTGGATTAATGGATGATCCACAGGTTGTCCCCGCCGCGTCTTGGGATCAGACCCCAAGCATGTTGGAGCATGCATGGATCTAGTGATTATTAGAGGAACAGCTGAGCCGGGCCACCAGAAACAGACGCATGGCATTTCATACCCAAGGGTGCCCCCACAGTCCTATAGGTGTTACCTAGGGGGGTCACGAGGTTTTTCCAAGGAAGAAGAGAGCTTCCCACATGTTCATTATCACCTTCACTTTGTCACTAGGTTCTTTCTAGTCTCTCAAGCAATAGTTCTAGCCTGCCTGAGGCCTTTGTCGAGGGTCCCTGGTTAAACATCCATCCGCGAGGTGCCAGGCAGTCAGCAGCAGAAGCTTCCCAACCCGTGAGTCCTTGAGATGTGCTCTCGTTGCTTGACCTTTGGGGTGACAGGGAGTGACCCAGAGGCCACCACTGCTTTTTGTGCAGGAATTACAGACACTGGTTTCTTGGAAAATGGAGAGAAGCGCACTTTGCACAGACATCGTCAATAAAGTCCCAATTTGCCACTTGGTACTGAGTACACTGGACCCTGAAAGCTGGCTCTTGGGCCAGCGTCCTTCCTCCAGGACACCACGGCCAAGCTGCCCCAGCTCCACCCGCCCCTTCCTGGAGGGATGGCAAGGGAAGGAGAAATCAGAACTGACATCTTTGAAACCACAGAATGTGTTAAATGCAGACAAGCTCAAGGGCATAAGTTATTGTGAAGATTGTTGCCAATCACTGCTCAACAGCCCTGCTAGATTTTGTATGACGCTGAATTATTATGCAGACTAATTCCACCAGTTGAGACCCACCCATGCTTGTTACACTTGTATTTATTGAAACTGTGGATTCTTGCCCGTGCTCCCCCTATATTTACTTTAAGCACTGATCACTTATAATTCATTCGGTATGGTTTTCCCTGTCCCTTGTACACATTCTGGTATGAATTGTAAAAATAACCTGCTACAAATTGGTTGAATGTCTCTGTCGAGGGTGAGAAACGAGGCAAACATTAGCCAATGGGGCACCTGCCTGATGGAGGACCGGGAGAGGAAATCACCAATTTGGGCTCTCAGAGCTAAGACACACTTATTGATTCTGTCGCACATTTTGCACTGGTTTATGGCGATTGTTTTCTTGGACGGATAGTGTAAAATAAACTTCTCTGTTCTGTATCCTTCCTTGAGCAGTGCACAGTGCTTTCTCCTCGGATTCCAGAGCGTTGCCTGTTTGACTTTGAGGAGTGTGCGTTCCAGGGGAAAAGATCGCAGTCACTGTGGGATGGGGTATTTGCCCTTCTGTTTCTGGGTGGGGTCACGTGGAAAGCTGGTAAATGTCTGGTGGATTACAAGTAGGAAGTGGGAAATCACGGGTCCCCTCTAAACCTTGAACAGCCTTTGGCCTGTTGTCCCGTTGAATACACGTGACATTACGTTAGGAATCTTTCTTTCAGCTGGACATGAGAGGAAGAGCATGCCAGTACTGATGACCTTCATCAGTGCTCAAGGTCACCATCCTCTTTGATTTTACTAGTTTTCGATTGTGGAAATCCAGTTCTTGTCCTGCATGACTCTTAAGAAAGAATTACCCAGATCTGAAAGTGGACCAAGATGAGTGAACAAGTCAGGTGGAAAGTCAACATTAATTTATTTTCAGGAACTAGAAGAAAAATATCTACTAATTCACAGCACCAACTTCTATTTAACTGTAATTAAAGATGTATTCCCAGGTGATGGAAAAATACTAGGTACTTAGCTTTGTTTTGAGTGTTTAAATCTAACAATGCTTTACTACCTTATTTGTGCATTTTATAAATATACTGTGGACATTGGACAGGAAATTTTCATTATGCTGATTGGTGCTTACAAAGCATAAGATCCTTTTATATGAAATATTTTGTTATACTAGTCTTAATTGGTTTTACTTAATTGGTTTTACCTAATCAAAGACATTTGATCTGAAGTTTGATTTTTAAAAAACATATTTGCTGTGAAATCTTTAGAAACCATAATTTTATGCTATATTTTTCGGAGACAAAATTCTGGAATGAGGTAGTTTCCATGTTTCAGACACAGTGTTTGCTGACCGAGGCACTGCGGAAGTTTCCTTTCTGAACTGAGTATTTAACCTGTTTCTGCTCAGATCTCAGCCATGTGTGGATTGTGTCTTGAGTTGCTGAATGAGAATGTGGTTCTAAAGGAGCTGGCCGTCCAGGGATGCAAAACTGCTGATGTTGCTGTTTGCACTGTTTCCACTGTGCTGGGATTCATTTGGGAGGGCTTGAGATGGGCTTGAGGGAAGAACTTCTTGACAATATCCCAAACCTGGAAGTATCTCCAGAGAAACCCTCTCAGCAATTTTCTGGGATGTGCTGGTTTCGGTAAATTCCCCAGCCTGCCTCATGTGCAAGGGGGATATCTCTGTGACTCTAAACCAGGGGAGGCACACACTGGAGCTCGCACCTCCTGAGCACCTCCTAGTTGATCCCACAAGGAGGTACCTCCAGAACATTTCCTTTTTCTGGGGATTGTGTTCTTAACTTGACCCAGGCCCGCAGAGGGTCACTGTCCACACACATGCCCTTTAGGTGGCCTTGGGTACACTGAGAGGCCATGACAGGACATCCTCTTCCCCTTCCCCTTCCCAAAGGAAGTGCTGACCTACCCTTTTAGGGAGAGTACACTTTTATAAATACATGTTTTGTATTTATCTACAAAAAGACCTGAAGACTGCTTATTACCTTTTCCTGGGCCTGTTGCTTCAGAACTTGTTTCCAGTCCTAAATTTACTGGGGATCCGAGACTCTCTATCCCAAGCAGCACATTTGAACACATTTTAAGCACCCAGGCTTCAAAGAAAAGCCTAAATGCTAAAAAAAAGGGAGGGGGGAGTGATAATATGGTAAAGTCCAGACAGTTTTCAACTGTGGCATATAAAATGGGCATCTCATCCAACTTGCAATACATGTAATTCAGTATATCCTTAGAACTTTACCTGATTGTTCATGAAAATATTCAGATTGTTGGGACTGGGACTAAGAAGTAGGAAATTCGTGATGATGATGTTGCTCTTTCCAAGATTTATTTTCACCCTTTCAAAATAGGATGGTTATCACATCACTAGGTAATTATCCAAGTATTTTGACCCATTTCTAGCAATTATTTTGAAGTAGATGGGATATTTCCATGTTGGATTTTGAGTAGTCTCATACTGGTTAGTGAGTCTCATTTATTTTGATATTTTCTACAATAGCTGCTCAACACACACACACACACACACACACACACACACACACACACACACACACAATCTATTTGACACCAAAACTCTGTATGAAAACAGTTCAATGGATCTTTGCAGTTTTTCCAAATGTCCCGCTGTCCACTATGATACATCTGCAGGAATAGGGTGGCTTTAGCCAACTTTTCTTTGATAAATAAAAGTCCACGTGTCCATTGCATCATCATTCAGAGATGTGGGCGTCTGCAGTCTGCAGAGAGGCCAAGAAAGTTAGGAACCAAGGCCAGGGATGAGCAGAGATTAGCAACGTGCACAGGATAAATTATGCCAGCCCGGAATTGATTTCACACTGAACGTTATGCTTAGTTTTAAAACACAGGGTGGAGTAATGAAACCCCACCAAAATCTCTCAGATTGCTTACTGTTGCACCCAGGACACTTACTTTCTTAATAAACTATACCCAGCAGTCCCATTAACTTAAGAAGTTTTTACTGAACCTCAATTTAGCAAACACCATAGTGACTAGTCATAGTTAACACTCATTTTGTTTTTGGTCTTCGTTTTTGCAACAGGTAGGAGAGGAAGGAAGATTTAAGACTACAGTTTTGTTTCGGAAAGGGATTATGCCTTGAGCCTGGGTTGAATGGCTACACAGAAGGTTTCACAGTTTATACATATGAATTCTGCAACAAGACAGCCTTTTAGGGTCAGTGGTAAGCTTCCCCTTGCACCCCATCAGGAAAATCAATGCCATGTTTCACGGTTTCTTCTGAGTTACAGGTTGTGACTCAGTGCTCTGGAAAGTAAGGAGGTCCCGTCTCAGATGCTGCGCCACCCTCCATAATTCTGATCTGGATCACCTGGTTATCTGTTTCAGGCTGCCCAGATGTCTCTACCGTGGTTCAGAACCATGGCTCATGGAAGCATACTCAGATCATTTGGGATATTTCTTCGTGCAGATCCAAAAAGGAATGCTGAGTGTCCCGTAGGTCTTTGCTACTCAGGTGTGTGGGTGGGTCTCTAACTGGCAGCTTTGACTAGGAAGACTTCGAATTCCTATAAAACAGCCTCATCAGACAGAACTTTCTTCAGTG